TTAGTCTTTGTGGAAAAGGTAGTGGTGGCACAAATTCTTTAGTATGAGCAGTTTCATTAACCTTTGGATTCTCTAATGCTCTTTCTGTCACTACTTTTTTGTTATGCTCAGATTTTTCCAAATGTTCCTCAATTGTAATATGTACATTTCTTTTGTAGCAACTAGTTTCTTTATATTACATTCTGGCAGTTGAACTGCATTGTAGGTAGTTATTGTCTCAATTTTCTCTTCCTTCACAACCTTTAATATCTTTACCTACTGTTTGGGATGTGTCTCTGTGTCACTGAACAATAATCTTAATAGTCTCTCCGAAAGTGCTTCAGCTATTTGTCCCATCTAATTTCTAAGTTTATGATGGTAGCTCAATGAACTTGCAAGGTTTTATTTGTTCTTTGAATGTGTTGGTTAGACATCTTCGCCAATTTAGTAATAAGATCTTCCAAAGAATACTTATTTTCAGTCTGCTGAAAACCTTGCGGTGCAATCTGTTGTGGTGCAATCTGAGCATCCGATTGTTGTTCCATTGAAAACTTGGGTGATTTCTCCAAAGTAGTGTATGCTCCAAATTAACTAGAATCAACCAAGAATATGTACAAAGGTATGAAGAAATTATAGATTTCTTCACAATGTTTTTCTCTCGCCTCTCTATATAACAAAAACAATACTCTTTACAATCTCTCAATTTGTACACTAAATACAACCAAGAATCCTTCACAAAGAAGAACAGAGATTGAATCACGAAAAAGAAGTACAAAAAATCAGAGAGAAAGCCCTAGACAAATGCACAACACACTAAGCTGACCTTTCAAATGAACGCATTTTGGGAGTTAAAAGATCACCCAAAAATTACTCAAATCCGATAGTTGAAGAGTAGCCACGTGTAGGGCCTGATATCAATCATTTAAGAGAGACAAAGTCACATTTATAAAGTGCAATACATCACAACCCGGAAGCCCAGTTCCAGCAGCCCAATACCGAACATAATAGTCCAATACCAATAATAGTGAGGCAGGCCAATGTTAACATCGAGTCACAGAAATGTGAGCAACGAACTCATTGCCTCTCGCATGCAAAGCAAGTGCTCTGCAATTTGAGGTAATTACATCCCCCTTTTTGTTTATGTTTGCTAGCTCGTTTTGTTTCTTTCCATTTTATTTTCTTTTGTGCAAGCCATGGATTTGGAAAGAGTGAATCTTGTATGACTCTTTACGTATTTTTTGAAATGTGTGGTTGAAAATAAGTTTTGAAAGAATATTTTTTGAAAAAATTGAGCCCAAACAGGGGCTTAATCGGGGACGGATTTGCGGGGCTAGGATGGGCTGTAGTTCCCCCACTCAAGCCCAAGAAGTTTTTAAGGGTATTCTTTTAGGGAAAATTACACAACTACTACAGTATAACAATTACACTACACTATAACAATTACATTTCAAACCTTGCAATCTTGTGAAAATATTTCAAAATTCAGGTGTTTAACTCAAAATTTTAATATTAAAAATCAATAATATTATAAAATTAACTTAATCTATTTACCCACCCAACCCAAACCCTCAAAATCTAAACGATTTTCGTCTCTTTTCTCACTCATCCCCCCTTCCACAATGTCTCTCCCATCTCTCTCTCTCCCTCCCTCCCTCCCCTTTCTCTCTATATCACAACCACCAAAGAAGCACAGCTGCGGTGGTAAACACTACTGTGGCGACCCTCACATCATTGCCTATAGTTGCCGCTGAGCGCAACGAGGAGGACCATTAGAAGGAGGTGGCACCAATGGTGTTGGGAAGAGGAGGCGATGTGTATTTTCGATTTGGGTAGCATTTTGGCAATTTATATATATATATATATAGCTACTGAAATTAGTGGTTTGTCAAGGTAGAATGGTGGACTTGTGGAGGAAGCAATTATGCTTCTTCATGGATGAGAGCATACTTACGTAAGCTTCATGAAAATGAAATGCCTATGAATAGTTTCTCTCTATCAATGAGACCTATTTTATGCCTCATGAATCAAAAATACTTGCGGGTATCTCATTTTTGGAAAGAAGTAAGGTATATTGCATGATGAAATTGATCTCTTGTCCCTAGTGGGGGGTAAAAAATCTCACTATTCATATGGCAAGAAAACTTTACTTATGGTTTTCTTGCAACATTAATATTAGGCAATTTTTGTCATATCCATTGGGAGTATGAGATCAAGCCTGTATTGTATGAATCATACCAGTGTTAAAGGATATTTTTGGCAATCTATTAATGGACGGGTATTACTACCGTAGAACAACCTTTAATTGAAATGCTCACAACTATCAAATATAATGACCATTAAGTAGAATAAAGCCCCTTGTACACCAAGGTGTACACTCCCCTCACATGGGGGAAGGGGCCCATGCCCAATTAATGCCCGGGTCCTGCCCCTCATGTAAGGGGGATTTACACCGAGCTGTAAGGCTTGGTGTACATGCAGGGGAGTCCATTAAGTATATGGGGATCAAGTATACACGTGGCATGCATTTAGATTAGTGTATTTTCAATTTGTGCATTTGCAGTAGATTTCATCATTTTATTCATCAACAAGTTTTCCTACAACAGAACAGAATTATTAATTTTAGTGAAATGTTCTTCGGGGATGCATGCCCTGTACCATTGGAACTCTAGGCATTTACCTTTATTCTTTGGCGATCTCTTCTTTCTATGATAGCCAAGTATGGAGAATAGAGATAAATGTGGTAAATATTGCTGGTCAGGGAAGTTGATTTCCTCCAAATATAGATTAGGGCATCACCATTTGGTTAAATTGGGTTAAACTGGAAAATGACAAAGAAATGTTATTATATGCACATTGCAGTACGTTAGCTGCTGTCTCCAGGCTATAAAAATTGACTTATTTCCTTTTCCTTTTTGGCTTTCTTGTCATTTAGAATATGAGAATAAGGTAAAGATTTCCAACTGATTAATTCCCAAGTCCAATGTTCAAAGAGCTAATACATTACAAAAAATGGAAAGGCCAATCTGTAACTACTGTGGAATGCTTGAGCATATTAAAGGGAAATGTTACAAGCTAGTTGGTTATCCCCCTGGGCACAGATTTGCTAAAGAAAAAGGTCCAGTATCAAGTGCAGTTAGTTAACCCCCACGGGTTGACAGTTCATAGATGATGAATTTCCTTTCCAACCTCACCATCATGACATATCAATGTCAACAAATTTTGGTTGTATTGGCACCACAGTTGCAGGGACAGATTCCAACCTGTAACCAACAGACTCAAGATGTGATATCTCCTCCTTCAATGCCTAATGCATTTGCATTTTCAGGTAATCATACATGCTCCAATAATCCCGCTCTTGCAGGCAAGTGGATCATAGACACAGGAGCTTCAGAACACATGGTTTGTACTCTTCAATACTTAGCCACTGTGAATGCTACGGTTAATGGATCTGTTAGGCTACCTGATGGTAGCACTACTGCTGTCCCACACATAGGGACAGTGAAGTTATCTGATGACTTGATTTTGACAAATGTTTTGGTTGTGCCATCATTTAAGTTCAATCTAATATCTGCCAGCAAATTGACACTCAAGCATAAATGTTTCTTAACATTCATTCACAATTATTGTTTTGTTCAGGATCTTTTAACATGGATGACGATTGGGGTAGGCAAGCTTGAAGGTGGACTATATCATCTTCAGCATCCTGAACACCAAGGCAATGAAGGATCTCCACACCATAATTATGTCTTACCTTTGAAATGTAATAAAGAAAGTCCAATTGTTTGTACCTCAGTAAATGATAGAGCTGTAAATATGAATATTGATATTTGGCATTGTCGATTAGGACATATTTCTATTTCTAAACTGTCTTTTTTACATAAATCTGTTCCTGCCATTACCTTTGATGACAATATGCATTGCTCTATTTGCCCTATAGCCAAACAACACAGATTACCTTTTTCACATAGTGAAACAAGAACTTCCAAGACATTAGAACTCAGCCATTGTGATATCTGGGCCCATATTCAGTTTCCTCTTTGGATGGCTCCAAATATTTCCTAACTATTGTAGATGATTATAGTCGTATGACCAGGACCTATATCATGCAGGATAAGTCTCAAAACAGGTCCATTATTCAATCCTTCTTCTACCTGATCCAAACACATTTCAAATGTAATATAAAATACCTCAGATCAGATAATGGATTAGAATTTCTTATGACTTACTTTTTTCACTCCAAAGGTATCTTACACCAAGTAAGTTTTGTAGAAACACCGCAACAAAACGGTGTAGTTGGGCGAAAACGCCAACATATCCTCAACATTGCTAGAGCCATTAAATTTCAAGCCAAATCACCTCACAAGTTCAGGGGAGATTGCATTCTTACTGTCACAAATCTTATAAATCGAACACCAACCACAATTCTTGCCAACAGGTCTCCCTATGAGGTACTATATCAAACTAAACCATCTTATACACAACTTAGAGTATTTGGTTGTCTCTACTATGCCTCCAATCTTAAAAGAAATCGAACCAAATTTGATCCAAGAGTTGTACCTTGTATTTTCCTTGGATATCCCTATGGCATGAAGGCCTACGAACTATATAACTTACAGACAAATACAGTCTTTACGTCAAGGGATGTTTCTTTCCATGAGACAATATTTTCTTTTCATCATCCGAACTTTCTCAAACTCCTTTCCCGTTCTACTGATCACTCACATCCAAATCAGACTCTATTTCCAGTCTCATCACACCAATACATTGATATTTCACTCACAACTTCAAACTTAGCCCCTAAAAATACTCATCATTCATCTTCACCTGAGCACCCTTCTCTTTCCATATCACATACTTCACATAAGGAAGCTTCACTTGAGATTGTTCCATCAGAAATACCCTCTTCACAGTCCATCATACTTCCTCTTCATAGATCCGCTAGGCCTAAACATCCTCCATCCTATCTTTAAAACTACCATTGTAGCTTGGTGTCTCAGGTGCCTATTTCTCAACCAGATTCTATGGAGAAAGGACCTGAATCTAGTAGGCAATACCCTCTATCAAGTTTGTTGAACTATGACAAGTTGTCTCTTACACAGAGGAAATACACATTGGCCCTATCTACCATCTATGAGCCTAAATCTTTTGCCAAGGCATCTCAACACCCAGATTGGTGTCAAGCCATGGATACAAAGTATCAGGCTCTACTTTTCAACAACACTTGGGACTGTTAGTCCACTCCCAGTACATAAGAAGGCTATGGATTACAAATGGGTTTTCAAAGTTAAGCTCAAATCAGATGGCACAAAGGAAAGGAAGAAGGTAGGGCTTGTGGCTAAGGGCTTCACCCAACAGGCTGGTTTGGATTATGAAGAAACAGTTTCACCTATTACCAAGCTAGTTACAGTGAAAACTCTTCTGGCTGTTGCAGCACAAAAATAGTGGCATCTCCATCAATTAGACATCAACAATGCCTTTCTTCACGGTGAACTTGATGAAGAAGTTTATATGTTGATGCCTCCAGGTCATGAGCAGCAAGGGGAGAATGGAGAGAAGTTAGTTTGCAAAATAAACAAGTCCATATACTGACTCAAACAAGCATCACGACAATGGAATACCAAGTTAACAACCTACATTTTGTCACAGGGTTTTAAGCAATCAAAATCTGATTATTCCTTATTCAGCAAATAAAATGGCTACTCATTCACTGTGTTGCTTATCTATGTAGATGATATTGTCATATGTGGGAATGATTTGCCTTATAATGAGCAGTTCAAGAAGACATTAGATGATCAATTTAAACTCAAGGACTTGGGAGTTTTAAAGTATTTTCTAGGACTTGAGGTAGCAAGAACCTCCAAAGGCATATCCATTTGTCAAAGAAAATATGCAATAGAAATATTGGCAGATGTTAATTATCTTGGAGCCAAACCAACAAAGAGTCATTTGCCACACAACCTAAAATTAAGCAAAGATGGAGAGGAAGCTATTGCAGATGCTAGCATGTATCGAAGGTTAGTGGGAAGGATACTATATTTGACGATAACGAGGCCCGACCTATTATATGCAGCTCAAGTTCTCAGTCAATTTCTTGAATCACCAAAATAGACTCATTTAGAAGCTGCTCATCATGTGTTGCGGTACTTAAACGGAATACCTGGCCAAGGTTTATTTTTTGATAGCAGATATGATTTACAACTTAAAGGATTCTGCAATGCAGATTGGGCCACATATTTAGATACAAGAAGATTTGTTACTGGTTACTTTATATTTTTGGGAAATTCATTGGTGTCATGGAAATCCAAGAAACAACACACGATCTCTAGATCATCAGCCGAAGCAGAATATCAGTCATTGGCAGCTATGGTTTGTGAATTGAATTGGCTGAAAAAATACTAAGTGACTTAAGTGTTATATATACTAAGGCTGCTTTACTTTTTTGTGATAACTAATCTGCCATACATATAGCTAGCAATCCAATTTTTCATGAAAGAACGAAGCACATAAAAATTGATTACCACCTTGTAAGGGACAAAGTGCAGGTAAGAGAAGTAAAGATGCTACATACAAGGTCACAAAATCAGCTAGCAGACTTGCTAACTAAACCATAGGGAGGAGCAAAATTTAAGTCATTGTTGGACAAGATGCGAATATTGAATATACACTCTCCATCTTGAGGAGGAGTATTGAGTCATGTTAGCATAGGGGTATTTAAGTCATTGCACACATTCTAGTCTTAGCCTTAGTCTCTATATCCATGTATATATACGTATGTGCTAGTGTACCTCTATCAATCAAGCAGATGGAGTAAATAACAAAATTTTCCCGCCATTTTATTTTCTCTCCAAGTTCTAGAACCTTCTTCTCCGTCAACTCTTCAGAGACAAAAATTAAAAGCTACTTAACCTGATTGAAAGAATTAAATTCCAAAAGCATCTTTTATTAACTGTGATATTTAATCTGGCAACAGCATGGTTTACTTTTTAAGGGCTACGTTCTTTCATTTTAAAAAAGCTAATTTCTGTATTGATTGATTTAGCTAAGATTCTTTAAGTTTCCATGTTTATACAATAAATTAGACTATAATTGCTTAAAAGACCTATTAAATGTCTATATTTTTAGGTCCAAATAAATGTATAAAATACACTTACCAAACACTCTCAAACACAAACATTTGTTTGTCTTCAAACAAAATTGTAATCTAACTTAACAAAGACACAAACATGCAAAATGTTTTGGTTAGATAATCTGGCTTTTTACATTAGGATTTGAAATTATGATATTAAATCTACAAACAGCTTTAAAGTTATAATACCAAAACTAATATCCACTTCTCCAATACAAAATCGACGTGTGTGTATGAAGAATTAAGTAGACAACTATAAATCTACAAGTTGCTTCAATTCGTGACCCTTTGTGATTAAATATATTATTTCATCTCTCATATGATTTACACATCACCAATTTTTTTCCCACTATTTTCCCACTGTGTGATCTAAGTTAGGATATTCTAACTCCTCACATTCTATGGTATAGATGGATTACACCAATTGTAAGTCAACACATCAGTAATCTAGGATTCTCCATTTATTTGATTGTTTTGACCTCCAAGACTCAACTAGGTTAATTATCCTTCTCAAAAGTCAAATTCTCTCGAACAAGTGTATAAGACTTACCACAGCATTTAGTCATTATGCTTCTTTCATGCACTTGTTTTTTCTAATTTTTAAAAGCATTTTTCCTGCACTCCCTCTGTTAAGCTTTCTAGATGACCTAAGTAGCATATTTTAGGCTGATGACTCTCAAATCAAATGATTTTAGATCACCAAATTTTAAACACCTCTACAGACTTCAAAGAGAACAAATATTTTTTAGTGTAGCTTCCTGTCTACTTGTTTTCTAAACGACCATTGTATCGAGTTTTAGGTCGATGACTTCTAAGTCAGACGACTTTAGAGTACCAAATTTTAAGATACCTTAGCTGGCTTAATTACTCAAGGCATAAAGGTTTAAAAGAGAAGTTTCACATTTCAAAAAATCTATGCTTTGATTAATACAATGTCTCTTATCAAGCACCTATTTAAACAAACTAACCTCCAACTTAAGACTTTTGCCCAATTTTATCCCATTAATCTAAGACAATCTACAAATTTTTTTTCACATAAGTAATCCCCATTCATATTCATATCTTCTTACAACAATTAAATCACCCTCAAACTATGTTAAATCTCGTCTAAGGATCATTAATTTAGGACAATTTTGGGTATAGCATCTATGTTCAATCTATCAACCTATCCAACACAAGTCAACTTATTGCGTCATGATGTAACACTCAATGCTAGTGTGCATATAACATCAAGTTTTACATGGTTAAGAATCAATCAATTTAAGCATTTAATCTATCCACAATTCATAAATCAACACCAAATCTTAAATTCAATCATCATTGTTGGTCAGATTATCTAAGCCACATAAGCACACAACCTAATAAACGAAAAAATAATTTATTTGTTTCTTGAAAATTTTCAACTTTTTTTATTTTATTTTAAATTTTTCTATTATATACTAAAGCAATAAACACATAAGAAGACATAAAAGTAAAAACGCAATGTTTTTCCATTCTCAAACTCAAAGTAGACATTGTCCTCAATGTTTCAAAGTATAAGTAAGCATATAAAATGGTGGGAAATAATAGGAAACAGTACTCCCTAAATTTTTTGTCTGATATTTTTAAAGTAACTTATTGCAACAATACATTTCATTTATCAAATTGCTAAGCTTCTTCATCTTGATATCCAAATACCAATCAAGGATGAGAGAAAATAATTATAAGGGTCATAAGATAGTGAAAATGTGGTGTGTATGATAAATAGATTTTTTTTACGTCTCTGGAACTTAGAAGTGTGTGTCACATGATTTTTCTACTATTTTTTACTCAAATATAGTATTCTCTTATCTAGGATAAGTGTAGATATGATGATCCAGTTATTGAAACGAAACGTGCCTACAACTAATGCATCCTAATAACTACATGCAATGCAAATACTGAAAGCATAATAGATAAAAAGGTTGGAAAATTGGGTTACCTTCCAATAAGCGCTTAATTTATAGTCTTTAACTAGATTTTATGGAGGAATTGATCATGGGAATTCATGCTGGAAGGAATCTTACAATCTTACACTCCTTGTAATTTCCTGCTTTACATCCTCTTTTTGTCCTCTAAACCTTAAGCTCTCCATTTTCTTCTGGAGCGAGACTCCCTAGACATTTAGACTTTATTTCCTTCAACCCCTATTGAACTTCCTAAACAACATATTTGACCTCCTCCAGGATTAATGGTTGCTCGGGTGGATTATGTAGTTTAAAGATCTTATGGACGTTCTTCATCCTTACAATCAACTTACCATTTTCCATGCAATCAAGGTTCGACTTGTTGCTAAAAAAAGGTCGATTTAATATTATTGACATATCTTGGTCGTCTTCGAGGTCCATAACAAGGAAGTTCACTAGGAATATAAGCTTTCCAACCTTGATATATCCTCAATCTTGCCCCATAGGTATTTGATGCTCTTATCTGTCAGCTGTAGCATCACATTCGATCCTTTGATTTCTTCAACTCCTTGTTTCCTGAAAGTAGACAAAGGCATTAACTTTATACTTGCACTCGTAACATAAAATATTAAAATGAAATGCTTTTCCTAGTGAAATAGGTAAAGTGAAACCCCCTGGGTCTTTGAGTTTTGGTGACAATTTATTTTGCTGCATACCGCACTCCATGGTCAATGTCACTTCTTCCCAGTAAGATATCATGTCTTTCAAAAACTTTGCAAACATCTAATTTGTCGGATTACATCGATGAATGGGATGTTGATGTGGAGCTTTTTCTACATATCCACAAAATTCTAGAATTGATCATCGAGCTTTTTCTTTTTTAGTCTTTGTGGAAAAGGTAGTGGTGGCACAAATTCTTTAGTATGAGCAGTTTCATTAACCTTTGGATTCTCTAATGCTCTTTCTGTCACTACTTTTTTGTTATGCTCAGATTTTTCCAAATGTTCCTCAATTGTAATATGTACATTTCTTTTGTAGCAACTAGTTTCTTTATATTACATTCTGGCAGTTGAACTGCATTGTAGGTAGTTATTGTCTCAATTTTCTCTTCCTTCAAAACCTTTAATATCTTTACCTACTGTTTGGGATGTGTCTCTGTGTCACTGGACAATAATCTTAATAGTCTCTCCGAAAGTGCTTCAGCTATTTGTCCCATCTAATTTCTAAGTTTATGATGGTAGCTCAATGAACTTGCAAGGTTTTATTTGTTCTTTGAATGTGTTGGTTAGACATCTTCGCCAATTTAGTAATAAGATCTTCCAAAGAATACTTATTTTCAGTCTGCTGAAAACCTTGCGGTGCAATCTGTTGTGGTGCAATCTGAGCATCCGATTGTTGTTCCATTGAAAACTTGGGTGATTTCTCCAAAGTAGTGTATGCTCCAAATTAACTAGAATCAACCAAGAATATGTACAAAGGTATGAAGAAATTATAGATTTCTTCACAATGTTTTTCTCTCGCCTCTCTATATAACAAAAACAATACTCTTTACAATCTCTCAATTTGTACACTAAATACAACCAAGAATCCTTCACAAAGAAGAACAGAGATTGAATCACGAAAAAGAAGTACAAAAAATCAGAGAGAAAGCCCTAGACAAATGCACAACACACTAAGCTGACCTTTCAAATGAACGCATTTTGGGAGTTAAAAGATCACCCAAAAATTACTCAAATCCGATAGTTGAAGAGTAGCCACGTGTAGGGCCTGATATCAATCATTTAAGAGAGACAAAGTCACATTTATAAAGTGCAATACATCACAACCCGGAAGCCCAGTTCCAGCAGCCCAATACCGAACATAATAGTCCAATACCAATAATAGTGAGGCAGGCCAATGTTAACATGGAGTCACAGAAATGTGAGCAACGAACTCATTGCCTCTCGCATGCAAAGCAAGTGCTCTGCAATTTGAGGTAATTACATCCCCCTTTTTGTTTATGTTTGCTAGCTCGTTTTGTTTCTTTCCATTTTATTTTCTTTTGTGCAAGCCATGGATTTGGAAAGAGTGAATCTTGTATGACTCTTTACGTATTTTTTGAAATGTGTGGTTGAAAATAAGTTTTGAAAGAATATTTTTTGAAAAAATTGAGCCCAAACAGGGGCTTAATCGGGGACGGATTTGCGTGGCTAGGATGGGCTGTAGTTCCCCCACTCAAGCCCAAGAAGTTTTTAAGGGTATTCTTTTAGGGAAAATTACACAACTACTACAGTATAACAATTACACTACACTATAACAATTACATTTCAAACCTTGCAATCTTGTGAAAATATTTCAAAATTCAGGTGTTTAACTCAAAATTTTAATATTAAAAATCAATAATATTATAAAATTAACTTAATCTATTTACCCACCCAACCCAAACCCTCAAAATCTAAACGATTTTCGTCTCTTTTCTCACTCATCCCCCCTTCCACAATGTCTCTCCCATCTCTCTCTCTCCCTCCCTCCCTCCCCTTTCTCTCTATATCACAACCACCAAAGAAGCACAGCTGCGGTGGTAAACACTACTGTGGCGACCCTCACATCATTGCCTATAGTTGCCGCTGAGCGCAACGAGGAGGACCATTAGAAGGAGGTGGCACCAATGGTGTTGGGAAGAGGAGGCGATGTGTATTTTCGATTTGGGTAGCATTTTGGCAATTCAACGTGGACCTTTTGGTGATGAATTTGTTGTGGGAAGAAGGTTTTGGGAGGTTTCTAGTAGCTAGGTAAATTGATCTGGGAAAATTTAGGTTTATTTCTAATCTACCTTTGTTTTATTGTCATCATGTTTGCTGAGGTGTTGTGGGTGTGATGTGGCGGTGGTGCATTTGCGATTGCGATGGTGGCGACGGTGATGAGGTGATTGGTTGTTGGTACAGGCAGCTGTACATTAATTCTAGCTAAAGAATAGTAAATTTTTGTTTTGTCTTTTTGTTAGTGTTTATTACCAAGGAGACTAAAATGGAGCTGGTGCTCACTGCTTACACCAATTATAGGCAATGTTTTAGATGAATAATAGAAGATACCTTTTTATTTGACTGGAGTGAATTGATCAAATAACGTTGTTTTAGCACCAAGTGTATGAGAAATGATGGAAGCCAGAAAGTCATAAAGAAGGCAATTGAAAAGCTTGAACTTTTAGACAGAGCATATTTCTACACACCTTCAAACTGGTGATTACTCAATAATAATTATTGCAACAGATAGTTGTTTTTTGATCATTTGGAAGCAATATCTTGATTCAATTTTTAACAACAGGGGTGTCGAACCATGGTGGAGGTCACAAATTATTTGGTTGAGTGTGACCAATACGTTGGTTGATATGTGGCCTATATATAATATATGATCGATAAAATTCTTTTTAGTCTTTGTGGAAAAGGTAGTGGTGGCACAAATTCTTTAGTATGAGCAGTTTCATTAACCTTTGGATTCTCTAATGCTCTTTCTGTCACTACTTTTTTGTTATGCTCAGATTTTTCCAAATGTTCCTCAATTGTAATATGTACATTTCTTTTGTAGCAACTAGTTTCTTTATATTACATTCTGGCAGTTGAACTGCATTGTAGGTAGTTATTGTCTCAATTTTCTCTTCCTTCACAACCTTTAATATCTTTACCTACTGTTTGGGATGTGTCTCTGTGTCACTGAACAATAATCTTAATAGTCTCTCCGAAAGTGCTTCAGCTATTTGTCCCATCTAATTTCTAAGTTTATGATGGTAGCTCAATGAACTTGCAAGGTTTTATTTGTTCTTTGAATGTGTTGGTTAGACATCTTCGCCAATTTAGTAATAAGATCTTCCAAAGAATACTTATTTTCAGTCTGCTGAAAACCTTGCGGTGCAATCTGTTGTGGTGCAATCTGAGCATCCGATTGTTGTTCCATTGAAAACTTGGGTGATTTCTCCAAAGTAGTGTATGCTCCAAATTAACTAGAATCAACCAAGAATATGTACAAAGGTATGAAGAAATTATAGATTTCTTCACAATGTTTTTCTCTCGCCTCTCTATATAACAAAAACAATACTCTTTACAATCTCTCAATTTGTACACTAAATACAACCAAGAATCCTTCACAAAGAAGAACAGAGATTGAATCACGAAAAAGAAGTACAAAAAATCAGAGAGAAAGCCCTAGACAAATGCACAACACACTAAGCTGACCTTTCAAATGAACGCATTTTGGGAGTTAAAAGATCACCCAAAAATTACTCAAATCCGATAGTTGAAGAGTAGCCACGTGTAGGGCCTGATATCAATCATTTAAGAGAGACAAAGTCACATTTATAAAGTGCAATACATCACAACCCGGAAGCCCAGTTCCAGCAGCCCAATACCGAACATAATAGTCCAATACCAATAATAGTGAGGCAGGCCAATGTTAACATCGAGTCACAGAAATGTGAGCAACGAACTCATTGCCTCTCGCATGCAAAGCAAGTGCTCTGCAATTTGAGGTAATTACATCCCCCTTTTTGTTTATGTTTGCTAGCTCGTTTTGTTTCTTTCCATTTTATTTTCTTTTGTGCAAGCCATGGATTTGGAAAGAGTGAATCTTGTATGACTCTTTACGTATTTTTTGAAATGTGTGGTTGAAAATAAGTTTTGAAAGAATATTTTTTGAAAAAATTGAGCCCAAACAGGGGCTTAATCGGGGACGGATTTGCGGGGCTAGGATGGGCTGTAGTTCCCCCACTCAAGCCCAAGAAGTTTTTAAGGGTATTCTTTTAGGGAAAATTACACAACTACTACAGTATAACAATTACACTACACTATAACAATTACATTTCAAACCTTGCAATCTTGTGAAAATATTTCAAAATTCAGGTGTTTAACTCAAAATTTTAATATTAAAAATCAATAATATTATAAAATTAACTTAATCTATTTACCCACCCAACCCAAACCCTCAAAATCTA